AATTAATTTTTTTATTGATCAAATCAAGAATTGTTCAGCCCGTTTTCTCGCAAATATAAGACTACAGTAAAGTCGCGCTCGTCTAGATTTAATACTAATAAAATAATTATTATCATGCAGCTCCTCAACCAAAATAATATTCAGACCGTTTTGCTCCATTGTAGTTTAATTATTACTCTACTTATATTTAGTTTTCTTTTTAACACAAATGCGTGCTTAATAGTCGAATTCTTTCGAAGTACATATAAAGATAAACAGTCGGTGTTAAGCCTGTACTCAGAACACAATTTTCCCATTTTCTGCTTTAAATATATTTCAAACTGTACTTTAACAGACCAGAGATGCCATTATTGTAACTCATTGGGGTTTTCATAAAAAAATTAAAAATGGCAAAATAAAATTTTATAATATTTTGAAGAAATTGTATTTGTTCGACTGTACTTTAGTGGCGAGGGAACTCCAGTCTAAATAACCTTAGATCAATTTTTTTATAATGAATTAAATTTGTAAAAATATATAGGGTGTTCGTTTTGAAAAAATACAATATTAGTGTCCAACGTTATAAAGAAACGCCATATACTTATTTGCAAACGAGTGTAAAGTAGAGTCCATCAAATAGTGAAACTTGATTTTGTGTTTATTAGAAACCACCAATAAACTGCTTAGAATTAAAGTGATATTCACTGTTTGCCGGATTCTACTCTAATTTGTAGTCCTAAATATGGAAATCAAAGATTTTTTTATAGCTCACTCATTCATCATCACACCGTTGAGGCGTCCTGTATATTGAAATAGACATTTGGATATGCAAGATTGTGGTTCTGCTTGTGAAAAGAGCAGAGTTAAAAGTTTTTTTTTACCATTCTTCAAACGATATTTTTGCCATATCCGACAGAACTGATCTCCAATTGGATTATTAAATGATTTTGTTGTCAAATTTTATATGTAGCATTTGTTAGGAGTGTATATAGAATGATAGTAAAACATTAATCAAACTTTGTCTAAGCATCCCCAATTCCCCATCAACAATTTGGTAACGTCAAATGAACTTTTTTCATATATCTAAATTTTTTAAAATATCATATGTACTTGTAGTTTAGGAATCCGCGTTGATTTTTTACCCTTAGCATTCAGATTTTCGCAAAAAAAAACGAACTGCGGACTAATAAATGAGCTATTCTTTTTTTAATTATACTATATATAATATATTATTAATATTTCTACCTATGAATGATTAGTAAAACGTTCACAAAAATTTCTCCTATCAACCCCGCCTATACTGTAAAGACGTCACCTAAAATTTTTGATAATAAATACCAATTAAATTATATAGAATAACATCCTTTTGTATTTATGGCTTATGAATCTGCCTCGAGTTTTCCTATAGGCATCCAGATTTCGCAGGAAAAATCCCAATTGATTAACAATTTTTACATTTCAATATAAGCGGTATTTTGAAAAAGGAAAAAAAATGGATACGAAAGAAAATCTTGAAATAATAATAATTGGTCTAGTAATTTTCGCTATTTCGTTTAACTTGTGTTTTCCTACTCTAACTTACCAAAAAAACGTAATACGATTACAATTTTCAATTTATTGTGTTTATTTACTTTCTGTCTTAAATTCCACTAACATTACTATATATATTTGTTTATACAGGGTGTCTGGAAAATGATGGATTAACTCTACGCTATGCTCTTAAAAATCAAGTGGTGAGTCTGGGAAAAATAGTCAAAAATCCTTCTCACATTAACAACTAAACAACACATTATCACAATAAGTAGTAACAAGCTCTTAAAAATCAAGTGGTGTGTCTAGGAAAAATAGTCAAAAATCCTTCTCACATTAACAACTAAACAACACATTCATTATCACAATAACTAGTAACAAAACTTTTAGTAAATATTTCTCTCGCCCATGATCATGTTTAATTACCATTTCAGTTAGAAAGTACAAAAATATTGTTACGTTGAAAGGGTGTTTAAAATCGGCATGGGTAAAACTCAGTAACTTATTTTTTAGTAACTCAAATTTACACGACACAGCGATTATGTATAAAATAATTTCGGCGCAACTTGACTGAATTCATTCACTGGACTCGACTCGCTGACTGAATAATCCTCGTTGCTGACGGTGGCCTCTATTTAAACCCATACGTACCTTTGGATGGATCGCGAACCCACTCCAGACTTGTCTTTATGCCAACGCTGCCCGGCCGCCGTCACCGATGATGAGTTACTTCGTCGCCGCACACACTAGAAACCCATAGGCGTCAGACTGGGACAACAATGTTTGCCTGATATAAAGCGACAAGCAAAAATCGAATAAGCAGTTTGACCTGTCAAAAATTGTCAAAGTTTAAAAATTTGGCAGTTAATTTTAGGTCCCCTGACGTTTTATTTTCGGATAAATTTAAAGGAATTTGGCGTTTTCTTTATGAATTAGAAAAAGTTTTGAGTGCGGCAGTGTTTTTCTTTGTTTTTCTTTTTTTTTTTAATTTGGGAGACTCTTTGGTATCCATGGTGTATACCTTTGGGAGCCCATGGAGATTTTTTGAGTTAATTTTGAGACCCCGTTTTTTTTTTAAATTTAAGACAATCTTAAGGTTTTAGGTATTCCTGCTTGGAAGGTATTTGAAAGTGCTTTGGAGCCTCTAGTGTCTTTTCTTATAACAATTTAATTAAATTTCTTATAGGATCATTTACTAAAATCAGTTTTAACAGGTACTAGCCCCACCCACCCACCCTCTCTTCTCTTGAAGGGTATCTCATTTGCCAAATTCAGTCTTATCTTGGCAGCTACTAGCCCCAACCTCTCTTTTCTTAGAGGGTATTTCATTTGCCAAAATCAGTTTTATCTTAGCTGGTACTAGCCCCGCCCACCCGCCCTCGCTTCTCTTGCAGGATATCTCATTTGCCAAAGTCAGTCTTATCTTGGCAGCTACTAGCCCCAACTTCTCTTTTCTTAGAGGGTATTTCATTTGTCAAAATCAGTTTTATCTTAGCTGGTACTAGCCCCGCCCACCCGCCCTCGCTTCTCTTGAAGGATATTTCATTTGCCAAAGTCAGTCTTATCTTGGCAGCTACTAGCCCCGCCCACCCACCCTCTCTTTTCTTAGAGGGTATGTCACTGCCAAAATCAATTTTATCTTAACAAGTATTGATGACTAACTTTTACAAAAAATGATCAAAATTTGGAAACATTACGAGCTTTTTTTGTGCACACAAGGCAGGAATTTTAATCATCTTCTCTAGTGTTTAATTGGTTATGCTTTTATTTTGATAAAATTACGTTTTTTTTTGTTTATGTACATCATAAACAATGTTTTAGTATTTTCTTGGGACTCCCGAAACCCCCGTACATAACGTCCTGAAGAGTTAACCCACCATTTTCCAGACACCCGGTATATATTACGATATATAAAATTACGTATATTACGAGAATATACTACGTAAGTTATTTTATAAACAGTTTGTGTAGTTATAGATTTTAAAACTCCGTTTTGTAGAGTTCAAATACTTTGAGAATAGCACACTAACAAAACGTCGCAGTAGACATAGTACTGTCAGCAACGTTCATTGTTGTGTTTAATGAAGCCTTAAACGTGTTTTTGTGTGTTCGGCATATTCGTCTCGTAGTATTCCAACTCTAGTTCTGCCGTACCATGTTGTGACTTTTTGTGATATGTTTATACCGTGTATGATATTTTAAAAAGAGTTCATTCTGGTTTCCATTTTATTTTATATTTTTGTGCATGCAGTCTGTGTACTGATAAACAAAGTTTCTCTTAGAAAGGTTTGCCGGGTTTTCATTTTCCGTAAGTTAAAAACTAGGAAACGTAGAGAAATAAAGTTTAACGACATGATATTCTGGAATAATCTTTACGACTATGTCAAAACAAAAAAGGAACAGAATTTTTACGTGATGTGTAAACTCATTTTTTTTAAATGGTAAATATTCTCTGTATTATTTTATTAAAAAAAAATTTCGTTCACGTCTATAAAGTCAATTATTATAAACTCACCTCTTTTATAATAAAAACTTTGGGTGCTTCTCTAGAATTTGGAGTTGTCTCCATGTTTGTGGTTGTCGTTAACACAAAAAATTTCTAACTAATGCGTGGTGTTTTATATTCGACATCAGCAAGTTTTATAATTACTGTAATGTATTTCCACTAATCACATGGAAAAAACCTAGAGAACTTTTCGGGCAAAGCATTAATTTGCCTGAAAATAACATTATTACTGTTTAATTAATTATTATTTGAGTAATTTCGTGAACAAAATAACGAGGTATAAATCGCGTCTGACTTTGAGTCGAGGACGTAAAACATCCAACAAACAAAAATACGCAGATCTGTTAACCCAAGTGTCAAATATTAATCGATAGTGCGCTATCGACCGGGGTGCGATAAATAGCCCTCCGTCAAACATGACAATCCTGTTACGAAACTTAGAGAATAAAAATGAATCGGATCTCTCGCGTCGAAGTGTGTTCATAAAAACTTCTTTCGCTTTGATTCCCATAATTTATCCTGTCTGCTCCATCCGTATAGTCGGATTTTCATTTCTCCGACTCTCCGCGAAATATGTTTCCAAGGTGCGAACCATAAACGCGCCCGTGAAAATTAACAACAAAAAACGGCAAAACGCCAAGTGGCTGCAACTTCTCCCTCGAAAAATCCGCGAAATCTCCGCGTAAAAATTTATTAAACACATTTCCCGCTTTCATTCACAACACACGAATCCGTTTCGCCGGCACGTCCGGACATAAAACCCACTTTTATTTTTAATGGAGGCCAGAGAAGTTTAAATTTTAATTAAATCAAAGGGAAATTTTAATTCGCAGCTGGCCGGCGCACGGGGCGACAATAATGCACCCCAAAGACATTCGAAAGAATTTGTCTGTTGCCTCCCTTGACTAGATAATAAGGGTTGCGCAAGCGCCATGTTTTCCACACTTCGCGATTACGAGCAGACCGCAGTTCTTCCGCGTTTCTCGATAGATGTAGATGCGTGCTGGAGGGTTGAAAATCGCCGGTATCGCGTGTTCTTGTGGACTCTTACGAGGATTCGGATGGAAGCAACCCCCGACCAAGTACGCTATTTCGCCGCCCGAAACGGGCAACAATAAATGTGTGGGAAAATTTTTTGATGTTTTTGCAAGAACCGGTCATTGCAAAATTTGTAGTTGTTTTTGAAACCCAAAATGCTGAAAACATAAATCACCCCTTGACACCCTCTTGGTTTCCGATTTTTCTTGTAATTACCGTCTTGCATGCCCCATCCAGTGTGACGTTTCAACTTTCGTTTCAAGCTAACAAGTTAATTTGGACTGTTGACTCTTCGCAGACTCAAAGCTAATTAAATCAGAGAAAAACTTTTCCTCCATTTTCACATGACACTGTTGATTAAAAGAGCAAAATCAGCGCTCAAAGACGGACTTCCCCCTAACAGTTTTTTGGTTTTAGGTTTGATCGGCCTGTGGAAGTCTGTGTAGCGTGAAATGTCACCTCCAACCTTCAACTAGAAGAAAACTGTGTAAATGTGCGCGTTTTAATAAAACATTAGTGACTGGAAATATAATTCGTTGCGAAGTTCGTGGACTGATTTGTTTATTTAAGTGCAAAATAAACCGGCAGGATGTGTTCTTTGCTTTCTACGTTGTTCGTGGTTTCTGCCGTTCTGCTGCAAGGTAGGCTTTTTCTATGTTGTGTCAATATTTTTGTTATTTTACTCGCAATTAAAACTTCGACGCTCAATTCAGATACATATCGCCAACTTTATCCATTAAAATATAGAGTCCCAACTTGTATCTCTGACTAAGCCGGGATTTTTTCCAATTTCCGGTTAAACCGATCTGCCGTCCTTGTTTGACGAGTTGATGAATATTCTATTAAACCGAGGTAATAAAGAAAGTTAGGTAAAAGCATTTTGACTTGATCCACTTACGGCGAAAATTGATACGCTATCAAAATTTCGCACAAATTATGGACATTAAAGCTGGCTTTTTATAAATGCCCTGTCACCTGTGGAAAATCGTAAAATTTTTATTTTAGTATTTCATCAAAGTTTATGGAGCGTCAGTAAAGAAGCGAAATTCCTCGTAAAAACCATTCATTTGGTTGCTAATGTTGGAAGGCTTCAATTTATTTGATTACTCCGAGGTTATCAAGTTATCACGACTTTGTGTACGAAGGCTTAGCGGAAAAAAGGAGAGATTGAACATTTTATATCACCGAGTTTTGCGCCTGAGTGGTGATTACGATTTTTTCTAAAACCTTGAGATCGTGCTGGTTGGATTAATGATAGTTGATTTGAATTTCTAGACTCTAATAAAGTTACACCTATACCAGTAAAGACCAAATTTATTTTTAATAATAATGTAATTTTCAGTTTTTTCAACGGTTTCAACACCTTAAAAGTTTAATGTTTCTAATGGATTTTTTTTTTTAATCACCTTTATGAAATCGGAAATTTGTTTTTGTTCTCCGTTTTTAAGTAAAAGGCAAAAAATTAATATATGTAATGACCCCTTGCTCGTCGGCTTTAAATTTTAAAACCCTGTTGGATAATTTCGTTAACTTTTGGTGTGAATTACGTTTACTAATTTTCAACATTCCTTTTTTTTCTATTTGTTGATGAGGGTTTTTTCCGTAGTAAAAAGGAAAATAATCAGATGAATGCCTACTATTAAAGATAACGACTTATGAAATACCCATTAATTTTCAGAATTAACAAAAACTACGATCTAACCTTCATTTACATTACCTTAATACAGTTTATTAAATAACCACTTTTTTTATCGATCAGTGATTCAAAAGATATGGTAGATTAGAATATTTATCTTTTCATTCACTTTACTTTTACGTCATAATTGAAACGAACGGTGGTAAGACGTGAAACTTCCTTATACTATAGACAATATATTAATATTTCAAAACACAAGACTTTGCTCTGTTTAATTGGAGAAATATTTATTTTTCATTAGGAGCTGTTTACTTCAACAGTTTTAAATAATTAAAACATTGTTCTTTTTGGGGGAAATTATGTGTTTAGTTATAAAAACAACATTACTAACCTAAATTGAAGCAAAGGTATAGTTACAATTTTCAGTTTAATTTAATTAATAATAATAATCTAATATTTGTTTCAATGTAACTAAATACTCATTAAAAATAAAAATAATAATTTTAAACGTGGATTAAATGAAGTACTTTTAAATGCATGTTTCAATGGTAGTGGGATTTCCGATTTTAAAAATGATCAGATCACAAAAAATGGACCACTTTAATGCATTTTATTATTTTATGTTGTGTGCATGTTTGGGAAATATTCTCAAAAAATCCACAAAAACAACGTTAATATTTACTATTAATATTCCGCGAGAATTTTTGCCTCGTCGTTGTCACATTTTCGTTTCTGTGATAAGAGGATCGAGAGACAGTAAAATTTGTGGGAAGTCGAGAGAGACGAGAATTCTCATGACTTGTAGTTTGACGCAATATCTTGAACTCGAAGTGCTTTAAGCTATAACTGTATTTTTTGTACGGATGTAATAGAGATATTTATTACGTTTCGGGCGTAGGCCAAGAAAGTATGGTAATAATACATTTTTTCGACGTATCATGACCCCTAGAATACGAAAAAACAGGTCTCCCATTTCCGTTTGTTTTTCTGTCTGATTGTCGGTCGTTTGTCTGCGTCGATTTTTGTTAGACAGATAATTTTCCAAATTACTGGACCGATTGTGATCATAGGTATTAGGAATATTTTGCGTGAGTTCAAGCCCATCCTCGTTAATATTTTTTTTCTTACACTGTGACTGATATCTTCTAGATTTTTTTAATTTCTAGAAGTTATTATAAAATAAACTGAATTTAGCAAAAATGCATGGCTGCCTTTGGGTTTTTATTGCTCTCTCGGTAAAGTAAAAATTCATGGTATCCGATTTCAGCATCTAGTTATTTTCAATTTAAATACAATCGTGTACATAATATTTTTATATATTTCTGTGACATGTTTTTTAATTTTTGTAGTTTAATTTAAAAAAATTATTAGCAGTGTCTCGAAACGTCTTTTTACAATACAAAAATCAGGATAATCAAGACGAGTGTTCAGCTAGGAAGCGCGAAAATTTTGAAATGAAACAGCCTGTAATTGACCACCATAGTTGTAAAAAATAAATATAATTGGACACATATTGTGTTATCTCAAGAATTCAAAAACATCTGTGTTTATATTCTTAGTCACGCATTAAATAAAAACCATCAAAGCAGTTTGATCGCACCAATTTCTCGCCATTAAAACCCAACCGCCGAGTGCAAAATGCATGACACTCCCCCACAAACCAATTTTTTCTGGCTTTCGCTTTTGATCATAAATACGCCGAACGGCCTCTACATCTGAAATAAAAGTTACAGAAATAGAACGACCGCTACAAAGAGATCCTTCCCCACTATTTTCTTTACATGATTTATCCTCACTCCACACCATCTTCCGAGTTTCGCAACCACTTAGCCACATCGATGTATCAAAGAGGAGTCGCATGTGCTCTTGTTGTAATATCGTAATTTATGGTCGTTCCAATGTGGTAATTTTACTAAAGACCTCTGTTTATTTGCAACCGGCGCTTGAAAGAAACTGTAAATACATCAGAGCCAAAGGGATTTGACAGCGAGCGCTGTTTTTTGCGCGGAAAACTGGTGTGCCGTTAAAATGTGTGAAAGCTTTAATAAAAGCGCGTAATTTATTTGTTTTTTTGCGCGGTTATTTGCCTAAAAGTGCGATGATGTGGATTTTTTTGGAGGGGGGAAATTGACAAAAAATTGTTGCGGATATTGTGATTGAAAGCGACGACGAGGCAATTTTTAGGTGGATTTGGAGTGCGTCGCTGTGCTGAGGGTTTATTGCTACATGAATATAAAATTTTTGGGCAATTTATTCATTTTTTTTTAAGATTCGGGGGCAGACGCTTCAAGACGATTATGACACAGCGAAAACATAACGATTAATATACAAGTTCCAACACTAGAAAAGTATTTAGTAGGTAAATCATAGTTAAAATTTATCGGTTCTAACGACTTGTAAGTTTTAAAATCAAACATACACGAGGAACATAAAAATGTGTATATACATTGTAAAACAAAACTTCAACTACAGTGCCAGGTGCAGAATTCGAACCTGCGGCCGTGTTTTGAACCAGAGCTTAAATCTAGCACCTAAGTCTACTCGGTCAACCTCATTTTCAATCGAAATGATCTACAGTAGGTATAATATATTGATCTCAAGAATTTATACAGTACTTCCCTCACATGATGCTTATCAGGTCAGGTTCGATCACGTCAAGTTCGGTCAGTTCAGGTCAGGTCGGGTCAATTCAGGTTCGGTCAGTTCAGTCAGGGAATTTTCTGTTGTCTGGGGAAAGGTGAATTCTAAAAATCTTTGTGACTAACTGCTAATGTTGGGGAATTCCTCGCTGCGCTCAAATTCTAAGGGTGTGTTTTTTATGTCTAGAAATTTATTCTTACAATAGAACGTAAACAACCTAAAAAATGATCTACTGGTGTCGCTGAGAAGAAAAAGTTATTAAGAACAACTTTGTTGTTATTTAAAAATGTGAGTTTAAAAATTGTTTATGGTTACTATTATCGGTGAGACTAAAACATCTTGAACATGCTCGCTTTGCTCTCATTTTAAAACTGGTTACTTCCCGAGCGTAAGCTAAGGAAGTATAGTAGTCGAATCCATCGGATGAATGGTCACTTTTATATTTCCGCTATGTTTCATGACCCCCAAAGTATGTATGATAAAAGTAGTCTCTCGTTTCCGTTTATCTGTCTGTCTCGTGTCTGTATCGAGTTTCTACGAAACTGCTGGACTGATTGTTGTCAAATTTTGTACGCATATTGACCCTTTTTCTGTAAGATTCTAAAACTTCCACAGTGACTTTACGTGTGCACATATATTCAAAACCACGTTGGAAAATTGGAAATAGTATCCGGTGTGCTTGCAGTTGACAGTTGAGTTTTAGAGGTGCAACGAGAATAAAAACACAACCTCAAATATCAGCAGAGCAAATGCCTGTGATAACAAACCGCTTTTGAAGTTGACAGAATGCATCCTGAAACGCATGCGTAATCTGTCGCTCATTGGTTAATTTTAACTTGGCCCTGCAGAAAATTTGAGTTCACCTGCGCTATTTTGTCTTACTCTGTATCACTGGAATTTATATAATGTCTGCTCACTTTGCTTATAGTATAAGTGTCAATTATGTAGATGGTTAAGCTAACCAAAATTTTGCTAATCATCGTCACCAACAATTTGATGACGTCATTTCAAAGAATTCTAGGTTTATTTGATTTAACTGTTGTACAACAATATTGTTCTATAAGTGTGGTGTACGAACCCGCTTTGAGTTTTTCCCTAACGGTCCAAATTTTTGCAAAAACATAATGCACGGTATAATAACAGTTTACCATTAGCGTCAGGCATTCCGGCGGCGGTCTAGTGGTTACAAGTCAGGAATAGGGACCGGACATCGCGGGTTCGATTCCACACTTGGCCTTTCGTTTTTTTCCCTTTTTTTTCACTTTTTCTCTCGCATTGTTTATTGTCTGTGTTTATGAAGTCACAACAAATTTTTTATTGATAAAATTACCCCACTTTCTCGAAATGGCGAGAGTACGCCTCCTT